AGTCATGACCTGGAGTGGTTAGGCCCTGGGCAGATGTGCACGTCGTCTGTACTCTGGATACCTGGCCACCAGAACTCAGATCCTTACTTGTAGGAATTTTCCTTTAGTTAACATTATGAGAATTTGGAGGGAGAGTTCCCTTTACATAATCAACCCACGCTTTCTGCAGAGATAGGGAAGCCTCATAGTAAGTTATCCCCGTAGACATGAAAACCTAGTCTCCACCGTGCTGTTCTGTTTCAGAGAAGCTCTGTAAATATCTTCTTAATATCCTGTCGTTTTTTTTATGCTCATTCCTGCTGGAAGCCCCAGTTGCTGAGCACAGCAGATGCCAGGAACCTTCTCAGAGGGCCACAGCCTATGCCTTCCAGTCTCTTGTCCCTTCTTTTGGCTGCTCCAAGATGTGAAAGCTACCCAAAGAAGCCTTTTCAAGTCACTGAGATTCTTTGCTTTAATCTTCCATCCATGATCATTTAGATGCTGGGAGCAGGTTTCTCTGAAATTCCTGCATCTCTCTGGTCTTGAGATCATTAGTCAAGCTTCCTATTAAAGGCGGCTGCTGACACTGGTCTCTGGAATGCTAGGGAGGAGTTCTCCATTGTTGGCCACCACAGTGTGGCTGGGACTGGGGAGGGAAGTGACCAAGAGCAGGCAGACCCAGGAGAAGGCAGAGTAGGGCCAGGGGAGAGAGAGCAGAAGGGAGCATGTCTGCCGGCTTGGGCTTCGCAGGTGATCACGAAGCTTGCCGGCATGGAGGAGGAAGACTTGGCATTTTCGACAAAAGAAGAGCAGCAGCAGCTCTTACAGAAAGTCCTGGCAGCCACTGACCTGGATGCTGAGGAGGAGGTGGTGGCTGGGGAATTTGGCTCCAGATCCAGCCAGGTGAGTAAGTGGGTGAGGAGGCTCCAGGTGTCAGCACTCCCACAGGACAACATTTGTAGACACAGACATGTAGTCCTTCCTGGATCATCCATGGGATTTTTTGGAAAATGTTGGAAAACATGGAATTGATGACTAGAAACAGCCCTTGTTGCTCTTTCGGTGTGTGCCCCTTGAACTGTTGCATGCAGGGGAGCTCACAGGGACTCTGGCTGGTCTCCTGCTTTGCTTATACAGGTATTTGTCAGATCTTGATGTTGAAGCCCGGGTTGGCAAGCAGGTGACCCCAGCCCACCTTGGTGGTGATTGGAGGGAGCGTGATGGGCTGGGGTCACATAGTTCCCACACACAGGGCTGCCATCCCTGGCCGTGGGCACCTAGTTCTCCTCTGGTTCCTCCTCAGGGATAAAGCTGAGCTTCCTAGCCCATAAGACAGCTTTGAGGATCAACTCTTGTGGTAGCTTCAGCACTTACTTAGAAAAATTGAGAGTTCTCTGAAAATACTCAACCTGTCATTTATTCTACAAATATGCTCTAATTAGAGCATCATTATGGAGAGTTCTTTATCAGGCCTGTCCGAAGAGGCAAGTGCACTTCAGTGAGGTGCTTTTGAAATGCAGTTGCTGTTAGAGCCTGAAGGTGAGCAACTTCTGGGCCAAGGCAAGAAGGAAGCAGCTATCCCTGGGGAGGGGCTGCCCTCCTTCCAGCCTAAGCCCTTCGTCCCCCCACCCAGGGGGCACTCTCCATGGGAACCCAGGGATGCGCCCTGCTCTCACTGGTTCTAAGGAGATGTCCAGTTCATTCTGCTAAGAGAATAAGAAATAGCAGCATGGAGGTAGTTATCCCCATTTTACAGATGAGGTCATTGAGGTGCAGACATTAATTACTTGCCTCAGAGTTACTCAGGGACAGGTGGAGCCAAGAGTTAAGCCCAGGGCTTTCTGTCCTTCCACTTGATTCAAAGCCTCATGGTGGTCTCTCAGGAGATTTTAAGGGACTTCTGCCCTGTTAAAAAGTTGTGTTCAGGCCAGACATGGTGGCTCATGTCTGTAATCCTAGCACTTTGGGAGGACTAGGTGGGAGGATCAGTTGAGTCCAGGAGTTTGAGACCAGTATGGTCAACATATCAAGACCTGTTTCTCTCTTAAAAAAAAAAAAAAATTGTTTGGAAGGCGTTACTAAGTGAGGCTGTAGCATTATGGTAGGAACCGAGTCCGAAGCTAGGCTCCCTGGGTTCAAGTCCCGTCTCCTTAGAGCTGTGTGATCTTGGACAAGTTACTTACCCTGTCTCAGTTTCCTCTTCTTTAAGGTATAGATTATAGTAGTTTTGAGGATTAGAAAAGATAATGCATGTAAAATGCTTAGAAGAATGCCTGAGACACAGTAAGGGCTCTGTAAATGTTATTAAAAATAATGTATTAAATTGATGTAAGTCTTATACAGTTTGCTGTGGTTATAAATATTACAAAACGAGTGTCTTTTCTTCTGGAGACTAACATGGGCTGGTCCTCCCCTTCCTGGCAGGCGTCTCGGCGCTTTGGCACCATGAGCTCTATGTCTGGGGCCGACGACACTGTGTACATGGAATACCACTCATCGCGGAGCAAGGCGCCCAGCAAACACGTGCACCCGCTTTTCAAGCGCTTCAGGAAATGATGCGTAGGGGGGTGCTTTGTTCAAGACCAGGCCCTTGGCACCCTCGTCGGAAAGGGATCTTCAGTGAAATAGTTTCCTTCACTTCCTTGCCTTTCCCTCCAGTGTTGGCCCAACTGTGCTGAGGAAAATGCATCAAGGGCTTGGCTCTGCCTTTGTGGGTCATCTAGGGTTTTATAAAGGAGGAGAAGATGATATTTTTTTGTGTTTTCAAACTTGTTGGGGAGTGGGGTCATTTTTGTATATAAAAAAATTGCAGTATTTAAGGTATATTTATGTTACTGTTCTGAATAAACAGAATGAACCATTGAACCATTCTTCACTGTGGAAGTGTTTCTATGCTTTGTCCTGGGCATGGGTAATGTCTGACCCACCTCCATCAAGGCCCTACTTTGTAGCAAGCTCAGAGGAGTAAGATGGAGCCCATCCCCAGTGAGCATGCTGAGTTAGAGGAAGTGTTGGCAGGAAAGGCCTGGGGAATGTGAAGGGTGATCCAGCCAGAGGGAAGAGCCTGCGTAGTTGACTCTGGTCCCTGCTCACAGCTTAGCCAGGTGGATTCAGACTGGGGCTTCAGACCCTTAGCTTCCTGCTGTTCTGGTGGTCACAGCTGTTCCTACAGCTTGTCCGAGGTAGACACCCACACCATGTAGGCCGTCCAGGTCAGTTCCTGGTGGCTCGTCTGAGAGAGTGACTTCTTACTTATCCCTCAAAGTATGTTTTCAGGTATTGTCAAGAGGATAGATTTCTCTTCTAATGGCACTTTAGTGCCCTTGGGTGTTCAGTTGCTTCTTCCTTTATTTTTAATGGCTTTGGGCTGTTCTCTTATGTTCCTGGTTTGAAGGCAAAGGTGTTGAGGAAAAGATAGATCAGGCAGGATTGCTTCTTGAAAGGTAGACATGCACAAGGCATATCCGCTTTGCAGAAAGACTTGTGATTCTGAGGAGGAGCTCACCAACAGGAAGCAGCGCTCACACTTGGGGAATGTTGAAACCCTGGCTACATAAGGCTTCCAAGTGGAGGTCCTGCCCATCCCCGAGGCTCAGCAGCAGCTTCCTGGCCTCAGCTCCAGCGCAGGTGGGCTGCTCTCTGATGCAGCCACAGACTGGGGAGAAGAAGGTTTTTTGCGGCTTTTGCCATTACCTTTGCACCAACCTAATACTTCTTTTATCAGGGGGCTTCGAAGCAAGAGCCATCTGCCCCACATTCCACTTCTCTGAGCTGACCTTGGTGACAAACACACTCTCATAATCTGGTCAGTAGCTGGTGCTGCCAGGCATCTAGCCACTCTTACCAGCGCAAAGTCTAGGAGCTGGCATCGGGGCCCTCGCTAGGTGGAATGGGCCTGAGCAGCCCCACTTGAGGTGCACGCTTCAGCCTGCGGAGTCACCTATCATGTAATCCTGATGGGTTGGCACTCAGATGTTCAAACTTGACTGTAGCCGTTATTATTTTCAGTCTTGCCTCCTGTCATGCCTTTACACTTGAAATCCTCAAATAATACCAAGCACTTCCTGTGTTTTCACATTTCCTTGTTTTCTTGTCTATTGACAATGTTGAATTTTACCCGTGTCCTGTGATCCTAGGAAATAGATACATTTAAAGGAATCCCTTGTCCTTGGTGTTCTGGAAAATAGCTTACTGCAGAGAACCATCCTTCCTGGTATAACTCATGGATACCCGCCTTGTAGACCCCAGCCAAGGCCAGACATAGGCCTTCCAGATTCCCATTCTTTGCCTCGTAAATTAGCTGAACTGCTTGTCCCCACTGATCAATGGGAAGAAAATGCTTGTGAACCACACTTTGGTTTAGATTCTTGTCTATACCCCAGACCCCTGAACTTTGGCTCATTCCTCCACCCACTCCTGAGAATAGATGGGACTCAGGGTAAGTCACTGATTGATCTGTCCTACTGTGTCACGCCCCTTCATCTCACTTCCTATCTTTTACTTGTTTCCCTCTCCCTATAAAAGAAAACCCCGTTTACTTAACGGAGACAAACAGATCTTATATTCAGTGCATTCTCCCTATTGTAATAGTACACCCCTCCCCACCACTTTGCAACAGTCCTTTCAAATAAGTCCAGATTTTTAAAAAATTTTTCCTAACATTGCCTGTTCTGTAAACTTCAGGTCTAGATTTTATTTTGACATCATGTAACAAGTTTTCATCTAAATTTGCAAATATAACTTGTTTTTATATTTCAGTTTTTAGATATCATTTAGTTTTTAGATATGCTAAACTCAGTTCTAGGAAAGTTTTCTGTAGATTTCTAGAAGAAGTAGATCAAAATCAGTGAAGATATAGAAGACTTGAACAATACTATTTATTTTTTTCAGCTGTTGTTTATTGACAGGTAGGATCCATAGCAACAGGCCCGGAGGTGCTGCAGTAGTGGGGGAAAATGGAAGGTGGAGTGTTTGCTGCAGGACAGCTGGATGGAGGGCGGGGACAGGTGCCAACTGCGGAGGCCCAGGGGGTTGGGGAAGCAAGTAAGGGCCAGGGCCAGAGTTGGCTTAAAAAGAACAACTGCTCTGTGCACTTAAGGCCCCTAACTCTTGCTTGCTGTTTCCTGACTCCAGATGGTTGGGAGTCCTCTGGGCATCCATTTTCTAAAGGGATCGAACAGACACAGGAAAGGAAGCTGTCACCCTCTTGCCATCTGGCTCCTGGCGCCTCCAGTCCAGCATTCCTCCTTCTTCCCTTGATTGGGTGGGGTCACATGATGGGCAGCCAGGCTCTGGGCGGTCCCACCAGAGCAGACTGTAAACACAGCCATGTTTCAGCAAGGCGTTGATCTTCTCTGGTATCCCAGCCCATCGGTGCCACACTGCAGCCCAGAGTGAGCTCTACGAGCGATTGATGCTGGCCTAATGGATGGGTTGGGGGAAGAGGGTGGAGCAGGGACTGGAGGAGGGGCTCTGGAGATGGCACAGAAACAACATTCATGGTGTTGGTGAAGCCGGAGCCGGTTTACCTTCCAGTCAGCACAATGACCACATCTCCTTGAGGAAGCCTTGGGCCTTGCCAACATTCATAGGCAAGTGCACCCAGAGCTCCACGTCCTCAGCCCAGGCCTCCTGGACTGGGTCCTTGCACAGCACAGGGAAGATGCCACAGTTCAGGTGGGCCTGACGGGCTGTCTGGGGATTCCATGTCAGAGCAATGATAGGGGCACCTGGTGAGCAGAACTGCCAGACTCAGTGAGAATGATTATGGCCCCACTGCAGCACCTGAAGGAGGCCTCCACGGCACCCACGGCGATGGCTTTTGTGGGTCACTGGTAATGGGCACCGGGTGGTAGAGTTCCTCAAATAATTAAAAGTGTTAGTTGGCGGCCTCTGCCTTGCAGGCAGTCAGGTGCTGCATGCGCACAGCCTCCAGAGCATAGTCTCCTTTGGCTGTCTCCAGACAGCATAATGCAGTCGGCTCCATCCAGGACTGCACTGGCCACATCACTGCCGTCAGCCTGGGTGGGGCGGAGCTTCCTGATCACACTCTCCAGCATGAGTGGCACAGATGACAGGCTTCCCAGCTCAGTTTCACCGCCCAATCATCTTCTGAGCAAGGAAGACCTTCACCGCAGGAATCTCAATGCCTAGATCACCACGAGCCACCGTGATCCCATCACTGGCCTCCAGGATTTCATCAAACCTCCAAACCACCTCATGATTCTCGATTTTGCTGATTACTTGATGTTCTGTCCCTTCTTTCCCAGGACCTTCCTCACTTCGTGGACATCAGAGGCCTTGCGGATGAATGATGCAAACACCATATCGACATCCCTCTCGACCCCAAACTTCAGGTCCTGGATGTCCTCTGACACAGCAGACAAGTCACAGCAGCCCCAGGAAGGTTCACACACCTCTTGCTGCCCAAGGAGCCACCATTTTTTCCCTCCATCACCGGGAAGTCAGCACCTTTCTGCTTCACCTGGAGGGAAATAAGCCCATCCTCCACATAGATATTGCTGCCCACTTCCACCACCTTGCAGATGTTCTTGTAGTCCGGCCACAGGATGTTCTTGTCACACTTTTCCATGTAGGCATTATCCAGCGTGATTTTGAGAGTTGCTCCCTTCTTCAGCTCCACCTCTGCTGTGCTACTGCCCTTGATGAGGCCAGTTTGGATCTCAGGTCCTTTAGTGTCCAGAGCCACGGCAACGAGCCGGTAGGGGATGGGATCAGAAGCAAAGCTTTCCGTGGCTGCGCGCACGTTCTCGATGGTCTCCGCGTGGTACTCATGAGTTCCATGAGAGAAGTTCAGCCGAGCCACATTCATTCCAGACTTAATCATCTCCTTCAACGTCTCCACGGATCGGGAAGCTGGGCCAATGGTACAGATGATGCCAGTGTTCCCGGCTGTGATGGGTGGTGAGTCAATGTCCAGGCGGCACGTGTGCTCCAGGAATGTGTCAGCCATGGCTGCATGGAGCTGCTGGGTCTGAATGAAGGCAGTCCCAGCTTCACTATGGGGCTTCGACGTGGCTGCTGAGGTCCTCCAGTGCTGACCAACTTAGGCTACACGGCAAACGTGAGGAGGTCAGGAGCCCCAGGATGTGCAGCTGCTGTGCCGACTTGAACAATACTATTAACAAACTTGACCTAACTGACATTTACAGAATACTGAGTAACAGTAGTATAAGCATTCTTTTCAAATACGCAGATCAATTGCCAATATAGAATCAATTTCAGGTCCTACAAGTCCTAATACACTGGAAAGTATTTAAGCCATTCAAGCTGTATTCTGTGCCCACAGTGGAAGTAAGTTAAAAATCAATAGAAAGAATCTGGGAAACCCTCAAATATTTGGAAAAGGTGATAGTTAATTTTAGATGTCAGTTGAGTTAAGGGAGGACAGGTCGTTTTTTGGTGTGTCTGGGGGGTGTTCACAGGAACGAGGAGCATTTGAAGCTGTAGACTGAGTAAAGCAGATTCACCCCTACCAACTTGGGTGGGCTTCATATAATCCGTCAAGGGACCAGATAGAAAAAAAGGGTGCAGGAAGGATGAATACAAATTGCAGAGCACAATATTGATATATTTTTAAAAATCCAAAACACTGGGGTCTATTGGGGGGAAAAGGGGAGGGCCAGTGGGAGGGGGAGGTGGGGAGGGATAGCCTGGGGAGAAATGCCAAATGTAGGTGAAGGGGAGAAGAAAAGCAAAGCACACTGCCATGTATGTACCTACGCAACTGTCTTGCATGCTCTGCTCATGTACCCTAAAACCTAAAATCCAATAAAAAATAAAAAAAAAAAAAGAAAAAAAAAATCCATTGGTGGGACATGGTGGCTCTTGTCTGTAATCACCTAAGGTCAGGAGTTTGAGACCAGCCCAGCCAACATGGTGAGCCCCCGTCTTTACTGGAAATACAAAAAAGAAAAACAAATTAGCTAGGTGTGGTGGCGGGTGCCTGTAATCCTAGCTACTAGGGAGGCTAAGGTGGAGGAATTGCTTGAACTCAGGAAGCAGAGGTTGCAGTGAGCTGAGATTTCACCACCGCACTCCAGCCTGGGCAACAAGAGCAAAACTCCATGTCAAAAAACTTAAAAATTAAAAAAATATATATAAATTATCTTTGTATATATTTAGCAACAAATATTTGGAAGTTGAAACAAAAATACCATTTACAATATCATAAAAAATATGCAATGCTTAGGGATTATCTTAATAAATATGCCAATTATGCCTGTATTAGCCTATTAATTTAATCTACTTTTTTTTTTTTTTTGAAACAGGATCTCACTCTGTTACCTAGGCTGGAGTTCAGTGGTACAATCAAAGTTCACCTCAGCCTTGGCCTCCTGGGCGCAAGCGATCCTCCTGCCTCAGCACCCCAGTCTGACCCAGTAGCTGGGACTACAGGCATGTGCCATCATGCGTGGCTAATTAAAAAAAAAAAATCTTTGTAGAGACAGGGTCTCACTATGTTGCCCACTCTGGTCTTGAACTCCCGGGCTCAAGTGATCCACCTGCCTTCGCCTCCCAAAGTGCTGGGAGTACAAACATGAGCCGTGGCACCTGGCCAGTTTACCCTATTGTAAATCCAATTCTTTACCAGATTTTTCATGAAAATGTACAAACTAATCGTAAAATGAATGTCAAAGAATAAAGAAACAAACATATCCAAGAGAATTGATAAGAATCGTGCAGTAGGCACAGAACAGAAAAATATAGCAGTGGGATGGAATACAGAGCCTAGAAAAATATTGCTGAGAACTTGATCTGTGATAGAAGTAGCATTATATGTGTATATACACACACACCTACATATTCTCCTACACCTTTATCCATTTCAACAGTATCTTTATCTATCCCTATGAGTTCACACTGACACCTCTACACAGGGTTTATTTATTTATTTATTTATTTATTTAGAGATGGAGTTTTGCTCTTGTTGTCCAGGCTAGAGTGCAATGGTGCAATCTTGGCTCATTGCATCGTCCGCCTCCCAGGTTCAAGCAATTCTCCTGCTTCAGCCTCCTGAGTGGCTGGGATTACAGGCGCCTGCCACCACACCCAGCTAAGTTTTGGTATTTTTAGTAGAGATGGGATTTCACCACATTTACCAGGCTAGTCTCACACTCCTGACCCCAAGTGATCTGCCTGCCTTGGCTTCCCAAAGTACTGGGATTATGGGCATGAGCCACTGCACCCAGCCCACAGGATTTTTCTTTCCTTTATTTTATATTCACAACTTCCTTCTCTGACAATGGGAAAACTGGCTCCCATTCTACACAATATATTCAATATTTTCTTATTTGCTCCCTTGTAGAATGTACTGAAGTCATTTCAGAGCTGTTGATTTATGCCTCTGTGAAAATCAGATTCTAATTTTAATTAGAGTTCTAATTAGATGGCTCTAATTTTCATTTAGCTCTAATTTTAATTAGAGTTAAGTGTTTGTTAGGGATGTTTGGGTTTGTATAGGGTCATGATCTTGTGTTACTTGTATTTTTTCCCCAGTCCTCCTTCAGTGTGGTTATGTCATTCATTTGATCAGCAGTTTCATTCATTTGGGGGCTTTTGTATCAAACTTTAGTTTGTATAAGATTGTCCCTATCTTGGTTGATTTTATTTATTTTTCTCTTTTGAGTATGTAAAACACTATCATGATTCCAAAGTCTAGACTGCACCAAAAGTTACATTTAGGAAAGTGCCTTTCTCTTATCCCTGTTTCCTTTATATTTTCCATCCATTTCCTGACATCCCTTGTAGATATCTAGTTTGTTTCCGGTTTATCTTGCCTGTGTTTCTTTTTTGCTGAAACGAGCAGATACACGTGTATTTTCTTATTTTTCCTTCTTTTGTATTTTTCTTCTTTCTTACACAGTAGATATTACACTGTAGATAATCTTTTGCACTTTGTCTTTCTTTAACTTAATACATTCTGGAAATCATATCAATTCATTGAGGTCTTCCTCATTCCTTACGACCTCATATTGGTCCATTGTGTAAATTTACCATAGTTCATTTAAGCACTGTTATATGTGTATCATTTAAGTCATTTAAATTATTCTGCAATTGCAAACAATGCTTCAATAATAAACCTTGTGCAAATGGATTTTCTTACTGTTGGAAGTATAACTTCAGGGTGAATTCCTAGAAGTGAGATTGCTGATTCAAAGGTAAAGGCAGGGACAGGTACCATGGCTCACGCCTGTACTCCCAGCACTTTAGGAGGCTGAGGCAGTAGGATCACTTGAGGTCAGGAGTTCGAGACCAGCCTGGGAAACATGGTGGAACCCCTGTCTCTACTAAAAATACAAAAATTAGCTGAGCACGTGCCTTTAGACCCAGCAGCTTGAGAGGCTAAGGCAGGAGAATCCTTTGAGCCCAGGAGGCAGAGGTTGCAGTGAGCCAAGATTGTGCCACTGTACCCCATCCTGGACAACAGAGCGAGACTCCTTAAAAACAAAACAAAACAAAAAAACAGTAGGCTGGGTATGGAGGCTCATGCCTGTAACACCAGCACTTTGGGAGACTAAGGTGGATGGAACACCTGAGGTCAGGAGTTCGAGACCAGCCTGGCCGACATGGTGAAACCCTGTCTCTACTAAAAATACAAAAAATTAGCTAGGTGTGGTGGCAGATGCCTGTAATCCTAGCTACTTGGGAGGCTGAGGCAGGAGAATCGCTTGAACCCAGGAGGCGGAGGTTGCAGTGAGCTGAGATCGTGCCATAAATGAATATGTAGTTTTTTTTTTTGTTTGTTTTTTGTTTTTTTTGTGGGGGGAGGAAGGCAGGAAGGAAGGGAAGAAGGACGGTAGGGAGGAAGGAAGGGAAGAAGGACGGTAGGGAGGAAGGAAGGGAAGAAGGACGGTAGGGAGGAAGGAAGGGATGAAGGAAGGAAGGAAGGGAGGAAGCGGGGAGGGAGGGAGGGAGGGAAGGGAAGAAAAGGAAATCAAGCAATGAAAGAGACATTGCCGACCTGGATCTAGAGGTTGATTTCTTTTTTTTTTGAGAGAAGGAAAGAAAAAAAAAATAATAAGTAAAGGAGAGGAAGAAAGAGGAAGAGAAAGAGGGAGAGTAAATGGAAATATTGCTTTATTTTGAAAAAAATTGGGTATTAATAATGGCCAATCAATGTTTCATTTAAACTAATGGGTAGGTGTGATGTGGTATTGACAAGAATGTATATTTTGTGTATTTGAAGTGGAGAGCTCTATAAATATTTATTAAGTTTACTTGTTCCGGATCTGAATTCGAGTCCTTGATATCCTTATTAATTTTCTGTCTCATTGAATCTAAGTCTCCTATCTGGGTGTTAGGATCGTTAGCTCTTGTTGTTGCATTGATCCTTTTACCACTATATCTTTGTTGCTTTAAAATCTATTTTATCCGATACAAGAATTGCAACTCCTGCTTTTTATTTATTTATTATTTATTTTTGCTCTTCATTTGGTTGGTAAATCTTTCTCCATCCCTTTGTTTTGAGTCTTTGTGTATCCTTGCATGTGAAACAGGTCTGGATGTAACATGCCATTGGGTTTTGGCTGTGTCTTTTAATTGGGAATTTAGTCAATTTAAATTTAGGGTTACTGCCATTTGATGTTGACTGGCTGTTTTATCCATTTGTTGGTGTAAATTCTTCTTTATGTTGGTGCTCTTTACTTTTTGGTGTATTTTTAGAAAGGCTAATACTGGTTGTTTCTTTCTGTGTGTAATGCTTCTTTCAGAAGCTCTTGTAAAGCAGGCCTGGTGGTAATAAAATCTCTGAGTTCTTGCTTGTTCATAAAAGATTTTATTTTTCCTTCAGTTGTGAAGCTTAGTTTGGCTGGATATGAAATTCTGGGCTGAAGGTTCTGTTCTTTGAGGATGTTGAATATTGGCCCCCACTCTCTTCTGGCCTGTAGAGTTTCTGCCGAGAGATCTGCTGTAAGTCTGATAGGCTTGCCTTTGTGGGTTATCCGATCTTTCTCTCTGGCTGCCCTTAGTATCCTCTCCTTCGTTTCAACCCTGGTGAATCTAACGATTATGTGCCTTGGGGTTGCTCTTCTTGAGGAATATCTTTGTGGTGTTCTCTGTATTACCTGGGGTTGAATGTTGACCTGCTTTGCTAGTT